AGCGGCCTCTTGGAGTTGTTCGCTAGGCGAAGGACCTAGCGAACCTGACAGTCCGAAATTCTATTTTCGACCGTTACATGACTTCCAGGTGTCCGATTTCGATTCCGTAAAAAGCTGCGATCTCGGAATTCGACGTACAATAACAATTTCACACTTAGAAGGCCATTTAACACATCTTCAACTCTTGAAATATTTAGTGGCCTAATTATACCAATATTGCATTCCACATCTTACTTTCTTTAATAATCATCAAAAGTCACTGTCCACCTCTAATATACTCAACCTCACACTCTGTTTCCTTAGCACACACACCAGACACAAGTCTCAACACTACTCAATCAGTTTAATTCCCTGACCATCCAAACAGACATATAATATGGAGCTCTCAACCTCGGACTAGTTTCCTTAACTAAGTCGATCACAACTCCACTTCACGTCCTGGCTGTATATCACTATCTTGTCAGGATAACTTCCAGACAACCACAATTAATCGGCAAACCGCCAACTTCTCCACTTTCATTAACACTCAAAATTCCCATCAAAATTAATCTCAACACTGTCCTGCGCCGACTCATCAAAATAATTCTTAAGCACTTAACTTAACTCAAGACAATTCACTGCTCACGCCATCTAAGCTTGCAAGACACGCCTATCTCATCCAACATGACCCCGTCTACTATCAACAAGATTAAGGGTGATCAGTTCCTCAATTTGTCAATAGATAGCCGAAAATCATGATGGGGTATAAACCATCTTTACCAAACTATAAGAGTGTTCAACCACACACTAAGCTACAACTCCACACTTGCAACATCCTGGAGAAGCACAAGCTTCTCCCCCACTTGAATCATTCACACTTCTGCAGACAAAGGTTAGACAACAAACATGTACCGACAGTGTTTTCACACACATGTCGCATACAAGGGAACAACCGACATTATACAACTTGGCCGAACAGACCGACCTGCTCTGATACCACTAATGTAACACCCTTATTCTACCCCACAGATATTACAGCAAAATAACACAGATTTCAGAGTAAAATATTAACTTTCATTAAAAAGCCACAAAAGGGCGTACATTTCTCAAACTTAACAAAATTGGTCAATACTCTGTAACGACGAGTTTTCCTCAAAGTACATCAAACCACATAAAAGAGCGGAACTCAAAGCATAAATCAAGATTTCTCCTCAAAAGGGAATATCAATTAAATAACCCAATGATATAAAATCAACTTAAAAAACCCAACCCGATGTTACATATCAGAGCAAGACCCTCTAAATTAACCATAAAGGCTAACGACTCTAAAACTTCAAAATACTCCTCGACAACGTCCACAGCTAAACTTGCTCATCTGCACGTTACCCACATGGAGGTAACATTCAAACAGGCAGGGTGAGTAAAACAATTCATAATAATCAATGTATAACAATTAATGCATAAACAGCATATTACTCATAATTATATTCAACACATTGATATCCTTCAAATATGCCTCAAAGGCCATAACATCATAATTCATACAAAAAGACTCATAGATGCAATGCGACACAACTCAATGCATGTGGTACCAATCATCACAGCGCGATGGACATTGGGCCATCAGCCCTCCATAGATCCCCATCAATAGGATCAGAGCACATCAAAATACTTCACATCCACACAGTGGGATTGAAGTCAAAGTAATCGAGGTCCTGAACTGAAGTCCGGATGCACATGAATGCATGATGCACACTTCACAAATCATCCTCATAATAACATCATAGGTGCATCATCATTCATCATATTCATCACCATCAAACGTCATAATTCATCATATTAATCATCATACAGCATATCATCATAATTCATCATATTACTCATCATACAACATATCATCATAATTCATCATATAACATATCATCATAATTCATCATACTAATTAATCTTACACATCATGTCATCATATAATCACGTATAAATCACATATTAGCTCATAGTCATATTATCCCATATTAATTCCTAATACTACCCCCATATCATCTCATATTAATTTATCAAATTATACTCACGGTAATCCTCACACTATCGCCTATCAATCACATAAACTTCACAGTTCTACTCATGTTAATTCATCATATCATCACATAGTATTCACATATTAATCTCTAATATCATCTCAAATTGCCTCATATTAATTCATCATAATTACACTCACGGTAATTCTCAAACTACCACTTATTACTCACGCAACCTCACTGTCATACTCATAGTAACTCATCACAGGAATCCCAGGATCAAACATCACGGCATCGCTGCACACGATCAATATTCGCGAACTCTGCTGCGTTCGTTGGCTTGCTCGCTAGGCGAGTTGGTGGCGAGCCTTCGCTGGCTTGCTCGCTAGGCGAGCCTATAGCGAACCTTCACTGGCTTGCTCGCTAGGCGAACAGAGCGATGACAACAAAACCTACTACGCACCAGAACTGATTTCTACCCAAAAACTCATACGATTCACATACTCGATGCCCCTAAAACATCCCCAAATCATCCCTAAGATCATACGGCGATAACGACACAAACCCTATGGTTCATTAGGCCAATCCGACAACATTACATTTGCACTGCCTAAAACATTATTTTCCTGCAATTGCTCTGAGTGCATCAGAGTTATCACATTTGACTATTCCTATTCCTATATGGTCAAACATATCACAATCCAAGGTTTTGGCCACGACGGCCTAAGGTTTCCAAATTCATGTTACACATCAAACAGTCCGATAAGGTTTCCTAAATTCATGTCAATATTCAGGAATACATGCCATCAATCATAACTTCAAAGTCTATTCATCGATTTCCCTAATTCTCCCAAATCAACCCAACATACCCTAAATCATAAATCCTACCATAAACACACTGAAAGACATACATAGAAAATCATGAAATGCGATACTCCCCATACCTTAGCCGATTCAAAGCTTTCACGATTAACTCCAGCAATCTTCCGAAGCTTTTGCCTCCACTGATCCCTCCTCAGAGCTCTGGCCTCCATTCTTTTCACGGTTAACAAAATGAATCCTAAACCGTCAGAATTCTATTTTGTCAAACTTAGAATTGGGCTTTTCCCATAACACCCTTACTAACTCTTCATAATGCCCAATTTACCCTTATTTCACTTATATTCATTTTAATCAATAATAATACTAATATTCTCATATAGTATACTATTAATTAAATAAATAGTCCAAAAATGCACATTTTCTCAATAATCCACAAAATCACCGAAAACCACCCAAAATACGAATATTCTCAATTAAATAATTAATTAAAATATTCCGCTTAAATTTAGGGTGTTACAATACGCGTGCTATTAGGGCGACCTTTTTTCTTTCTTCGCATAATTTCATTATGCCAGACAATTTCGCCTTCTTATGCAGACTAATAATCCTCTTTTGCTACTACCTGAAAGCTAGTGTTGTATACATTACATAGAATAATGACTTGGTAAACAACAGACAGATAGTTAGAAAGGTCTTGACGATCCTTTGAACATGTCGCTATTACATGTGAGCAAGGCATACAAAATGCTTGAAACTTTCCGCAGTCACACCAACACCTATCTAGTTCCACTCGGTAGCATCCCCTCGACCTCCCTTCATTGTGATCCATTGACTCAACAACACTGAACCAACCTTTATTACGATTAAACACTGTGACGACATGTGTGTTAGCTTTGACAGCTTCGTCCTTAATGAATTTCATGAAACTATCACTGAACAGCTGCCTAGATTGTAAGACAAAACTCCACTTTGAACGTCTGATATCAAAAAGTGCTCCGAGCCTAAAATATGTTGCCCTTACTAAAGCAGTTATCGGTAGGTTTCAGATGCCCTTGAATACAGAGTTCATTGATTCAATGAGGTTTGTTATCATGTGGCCTCGTCGTTGGCCATTGTCGTATGCCTTGGTCCACTTCTCCCGTTGAATATTGTCTATCCATCTTAATGCATCTATGTTTGTCAATCTGATTTCGTCACAATAGTGTTTGAAGGAAGGCTTTGTTAGTGCATACCCTGCATTCACAACCTTCTTCTGCAGCGTCTTATCCTTGATCTCCCGCATGAAATTTTGAGCGATGTGTCTTACGCAATACACATGTGTTGATGGAGGATCATGTCAACCGTTATCAAGATTCTTGTATGCACTCTCGATTGATGGATGTCTGTCAGAAATCAAACATAAGTTAGGTTGGGGAGACACGTGTAATCAGAGATTTTTTTAGGAAAAACTCCAACCCCTAGCAGTCTCCCCTTCAACTAGAGCGAAGGTGATTGGAAAACTGTTGTTGTTTCCATCTTGTGCCACAGCTATGCTGTCAATCGAAACGGACACAACTCGTTACGACAATAGATTTTATACAGAGTCGGATTCGTACGGTCGACTCTATAATCTGCTAATAATTCCATGTGATATTGTTTTATAGCTCGGACACAATCTTCTTTTGTACGAAAATTGTCTCTGTCTTTTAATACTCCTTCTGTTAGCATGTATGGATTGTAAAAAATATCTGTTGATGGTTCATTTGCACCTAAGTTCAGGCTAGGCATGTGTTGAGGTGGACAATAAACATGATTGGTTGGTAATATGTCTTCCTCGTGGTCGACAGTGGAATCGTTTACCATTTCATCAACAAGTACCTCATCTTCTTCTTCGTCGTCGTCCACGACTTCGACTTCAGCTTGTTCGTCGTCAGATTCACAAAAAAATTGAGAAGGATCAGCAAGTTGAGACAATTGTTGTTGTATAGTCTTACATACCTATATAACTCTCACATGTCTACAATAATGTCTACTTATCATAAAAGTCTTGCACGCCTACAAGAATCTCACATGCCGGTAACAGGTAAAAAACTCTCTATTCGCCATTATGCACCGTTAATTGACAAAATCGTGAGCAAGATAAAGCATTGAACTGCACGGTTATTGACTTATGCGGGGAGACTTTAACTCATTAACTGTATTATGTTTGCAATGACTCAGTATTGGCTCACTTGTTTTCCTTTCCCCAAAACTGTACTTCAAAGAATAGAGTCGATTTGTCGCATTTTCCTCTGGATAGGAGGGTTTGAAGGGAGTCGTAAAGCACCTGTAGCATGGAAACAGATTTGTAGCCCTCGTAGCCATGGCGGTTTAAACGTCGTTGACCTTGAAGTTTGGAATAAAGCAACTATATTGAAGCTGCTTTGGAATGTTAGCGAAAAGGAAGATTCGCTTTGGGTAAAGTGGGTACAAACGTACTATCTCAAAACAAAGATTTGATGGAGATCCAGTGTAAACAGAGTGATTCATGGATAATGAAAGGTATGCTCAATCTCAGGGAGGACTTTCAAAACATGAGCGATCAGGAAGAATTCAAGACAGGGGGGTTTTCCGAATGAGTAATCTGTATGCAAAATTACATGATTGTGGTCAGCCGGTGGAGTGGAGGAATTTGGTGTACGGTAACAACGCAAGACCGCGAGCTAATTTCATGTTGTGGCTTGCTTGTCATGGGAGATTAGCAACGAAAGATAGATTGCATAAGTACGGTAAGATTGATGATACTAAGTGTTGTTTCTGCGAGAAAAATGAATCTCTAAACCATTTATTTTTTTAATGTGATTGCTTAAATAGCGTTTGGACTAAGATCCTAAGATGGGCTCAAATTAATCATACCCCTGGAAATTGGCATAGCAAGCTGAAGTGGCTTATTCAACATACTAAAGGTAAAGGTGTCCGAGTTGCAGTCATAAAAATGGCGATTTCTAAAACCATCTATGAGATATGGCAGGCTCGGAATAAGAGTATTTTTGGGAAAAAACCGGAGATCACTATTATAGGAAGAAAAGTCATAGATACTTTGGTGTATAAAGGGTGAAGCACTAACAAACTTAGGAAGTATATAGCTATTTTAATGATAGAGGGGGGTTAGATTGATTGTTAGTTTTTTTTTTCCTTTTGGTCCTAGGCTGTCTTGTTTGTAGCTGGATCCATTGGGATCGCTTGTATCTATCGTCTTTTTTTTTAGTAATATATTTTACTTTACTTTCAAAAAAAAAAAACTCACATGCATACCATAATAGAGTAAAGACAATGCTATTCTTGCATGCCTACAAGATTATCACATGGGGTACACAAAGACACTATTCTTTATCACACGACTTACATGTCTTGCATGCCTACCTTCTATTATATGGGGTACACGAAATCTTGCTTCTTTATCACACTATGCAAAACCTAAAGTTCACGTGAAAAGAAGATATCCACAATATTTATGGTCTTCAAAACCTAATGCGTCGGGATGTGGAACCGAAAGACGTTTTAATCGGACCGATCATTGATTTTTTTTTATTTCTTGTAAAATTTAATGTATTTTTATAATAATTCTATTTCATGCTTACAAATATCTCGATCATTAAATTTTAAAAATTCAAAAACTTTATTTAGATCTCTATTTTATTAAAATTACATTATTTAAAAATTCGAAAACTTTATTTAGATCTCTATTTTATTAAAATTACATTATTTAACTTTAAAATTAAATATTTTTATAAATTTTAGACCCGTTTATTTAAGTTTTTTTTAAAAGTAATTTTATAGTATTACATTTTTTCTTTAAAAAAATTTAAAGAACTTTTATTAAAAAAATTTCAAAGGAACACTTTGCTTAAATATTTATTATTAAAATACTTTTTTATTATTTCATTCTTTTGCTCTACCTTTTTTTAATATCAAAATCTCAAATGATAACTTAAATTTGAAGCTATTTTTAAATAGTTCCCATAAAAATTAAATTTGAAAGTTATCATTTTGAAAAAATTGTGATTTCAATTATGTTTAAATCTTTAATAATATATAGATCTATAAAAAATGAATTAAAAAAACTGTTAATATTTTAAAGGACATTTGTATAAAAATCAGTTTTGAAAATTAAAAAAAAAATTAAAACTAAAACTAAAACAAACGGGTCATTTATAGTAATCAAGGCGGGTACTCCATCCTTGCTCCCAAAATGCCTTCAGAAAAATTTAAAATTCTTCATCTTTGTGGCCTCCATCAGGACAATCCCAGCATCAATGTGCGAGACAAACAAACCAATGTCACTCTATAAAGGGTATCCAAAACTCGATTTTAACTAGTTATACCAAATCTCCAACTAGATCTAACAATCAAGATCGTTCGAGTAGGAGTAGGACACTGTAATACAACAGATCTAGATCGTTCGAGCTCAAATTGACGTCCGATTTTATTTTATCAGGTGAAACCAAATTTAAAATCTAAACCATCAAATCTTAAATCAACAATCAAGATTGGCCACGACGTGAAAATGCTACATCATTCAAAGACGACATAATTTAGCAACTAAAACATTTTCGAAAAGACTCCTTTTCTACGCATAATCACTCACGCCCAAAAGCTTAAAAGAATTGCGCAGAAAGGAACCCGGATATTCCAAATGTCAATCACTGTTTCATTCTGCCGTATACAGATAATCGCTAACTGTTTGAAAGCTACTTACCCAGCTGGAATGTCAGAAACGAATTTATGTCGAGTATATCTAAGATCTTGGTCTATGGCAAAGTCTTCTCAAACGAACTCTTTCCTACAAATACAAAATGCGGCAAACAAAAATTATAAATTACATGAAATGGTTAACACAACAAACAATGCATAGATAATAACACCCACCTCAGTGCTGTCGTGATCATACCGAATTAAGATATGACACCTGCAACCTCGGATATCATGCATTCTCCTTTGGATCTCTAAAATGTGAGCGTCATAGTAGATTGCTTGATCTCTCCTCTCCTAAAAACGCATTGAAAGTGTCGAGTTAATTTCAGTTATGTCATGTAACGTAACAGCACTTTGGTGAGAAAACTTTGGCTTAAATCACCTGGAAGCATAGGACAGGGTCTCCAGTTTTCAGGCCGGAACACTCTGAATTTTCAAACGGAACTGAACGTTCTCGGACAGAACTTTTTAGGTTGACCCACTCATCTTCCTCAGCTCCAAATCCAACAAATCTGACTTTGACTTCCTTTAACAAAAAGGCAAAACAACATAAGTTGGCAAAATCTAGTATACCCTATAAGGGGAAAATCGGCGGCAGCACAAGCCTAAGAACAATTAGTTGTTAAAACTTACAGCCTCCCCCGTGCTAAGAAATCTGTGAGCAAGAAACGCCTCAACATCATACCTGCAAGTAAACAGGGACCGGAAGCACTAGTCACTAGAACCGATAGAACCATTTTTCTGTTTATTTTATGTATGTATCGATAACATCAGAAGAGCTAACTTTATGGATGGCCATCAAGACCGGATTTCAGTATATAATAATCTTAACGATCCATGTATAGTCGTGAAAAGATCGAAGAAAAAATAAAGGATTATATAGACCAAACGAGCCTCACAATTTTTTAGCGTGTCTAATAAGTATGGACTAATATCAGCACGTGGATTATAAAATCGAGCAAGGGTACAAAGATGATACATTTTTTATCAAAACTTTTAAAAGAGATTAAAATTTAAGTTAACTACAATACTGCATATGCGCTCACCATGCCTCGTCTTTTGAAGACCTAGCTTCAAATTCCAACTCCGATGTGTCTCGGACAATTTTTCCTGCAAAAGACTCATGTCAGATTCAACATCACTAGAAATGCAACATAGCCAGGTAGACACCAAAGGCCCAAACACGTCAAACCAATGTTCTCAATCACAGCTCGCGACAAACAACAGTTTGTTCAAATTTCCCTATAAGCCAAAGTGCTATAACACTTCTATATCCGCAATTCAACAACAACTTGTACTAAACCATATATCACAAAACAATAGCAGTCTGTTAAAATCCCAATACATTGAAGCTGCTAGCTGATAAAACTGCGTCAAACATAAACTAAACAACCTAGTATAAACTTGCCGCAATGACACACGAGACAAGGATACGAAAATAATCTTACCATAGCCATCATAACGATTGAAGACGGCATATGTAAAGAGTCTCACCTTCTTTACATTGAAGTCCTTGAGGAGAGATCAATTCATTTTCAGGTACTTGTGGCAATTCCTGGAGCCTAGTCTGAAACCAACTCTCTATCTAAAAAATTCCCACCAAAATAAAGGAACAACAATTAAAACCTATGAAACACATACACACAGAGACACAGACACCGGACACGACTCTGAAACAAACATCAACACCGATAATAATTTAAAAAAAAATAAAAAAATAAATAGAATGTAAGATTAAAAATAGTTTTTCAAGAAAAAACATAGTAACCTCGGTCCATTTGACAAGAGGTTTCCCAGCACGACCAGAAGAATAACTGCATTTGAAACAAAACAGAAACCGTTTCTTCCATTATTTGTTAGAAAAAAGAAAGAAAAAAAAGAGTTAACAAGGTTAGCGAAATGAATCAGACTTGAAACTTTTAGTCAATTTTTGGTAAAAATCCTGAGTCAATGATTGTCCTTTCGTTTCCCTTAGCACCTTCTCCATTTTCTCAATCTGTTTGAAAACAACAACAACAATTTCAATCCATGTTGACGCAAAATAAGGGTTAAGAAAAAATGAAAATGAAAAAACGAACCTCGGAATTGGTGAATCCGGTAAAAACTGATCTGTTGCGAGGACGCAAACGATCCATGGTGAGGTTTTGGTGAGAGAGTGAAGTCAAGTATAAACCCTCCCCTTTCTCTTCTGATTCAGGGGTTTCTCATTTCTTTGGAAATTTGATTTTTTTTTTTTAATTTTTTACTAGAAAATTAATATATATATATAATTAGTATTTTGAAAAGGAAAAAACAGTATTTTATTATTGTTTCTTTTAGCGGTCAACACAGCAGAAGAATGTCCGTACAAGTCCGTTTCCCTTGAGACCTAGAGCTAGAGGTACACTTTCAAAATCTAAACTCTCATCACTAAACTAATTCTTAATAGTGTAAAAATATTATACATTGTATATTCCTTTTTTTTTTCAATGATTAAATTGTTAGATTTTATTTTTAAATCAAATGTATTGAACATGAGGGAAAAACAATGAGCTGAATTTTAATTAAACTCCAACTAAATTGTTTTTTAATTAAATTTTTGAATATATCTTGAAAGTTGTGATTTTTTTAAGTTAGATTTTAGAAATGTTAAATTTCAATTTTATAATTTTTATTTTATTTTTAAAAAATATTTAATTAAAATATCAAATATATATATATATATATATATATATATATATATATATATATATATATATATATATATATATATATATATATATATATATAATTTAAAATAAAAAAAATGATTTTTAAGTGGAGAAACAAATAAGTTGATTCTATTGAGTTGAACATAACAAATTAAATTGAGTTGTTTGTGTTGAGTTTTAAATTAAAATAAAAATTATCAAACTCGAATAAAGTTACAAGTTGAATCAATTTTCATGAAATTTTTGTTACGTTATACGTCAGTGACGACAGTCGAGGCGGTCATATTAGTGATGTATGAGGTAAATTAAATTGTAAAGTTAAAATTTAAAGATGAATAGCATTCAAATGCGCACATAAAATATAATTATTAAAATATATTGTCTAAGTATAAGATTGTTGGAATATTTTTAAATTTGAATTTTATTTAATTATTATGTGGGCATATATATTTTTATTATATTAGTTATTTATTAAAATTAAGAGTCTTAATTAATTATTAATTAATTAACTGATCTGATAAATTTAAAAGGTTAATTAAATTTCTACTTAATAATTAAATAATTAATTAAATATGAAATTAAATATGAATAGATGTCAGGAGGACTCATATAAAAATAATTGGAACTCTAGTTGACCATCACCCTATGTATAGGTCATAGTCTCTAATATATCGTAAACGAGCACTATATCTCTTCTTCACATCTGAAAAGTATTTAAGAACGTTGAAGAAAAATCATATAAACCATCAAGTATTAGTTGTTTATCTTCTAACTTTTAAAATTACTGCCAATATAAATTTTCTTAATATATCCAAATATTTGAGAAATCTCTTATGCATGTTCCTACAATTTATTAAGAATAACACTGTTCCTTCATGTAGAAACTAAGTGAGCATGGGTACCTAAAGAATCGATAACTCAAAATCTAGGGATTTAACAACTTTTATTTTAGGATCTCCCAAATTATAATTACTTTGCAAAAAATATTTGTCCCAAATTATAAAATATTTTAGAATTTCAATATAACATTAATGACTTTTTTTTCTAATATATCATTTATTATTTATTTCTCTTTCTTTTTTTTATTCTTTTATTCATCTTTTTAATATTATTAATGAATGACAGTTTTATAGTTATAAATTATTTCAATTTTTTATAAAATAATAATTGTATTTTTTAAAACTGAAATGTCCAAAACGTCTCCTAAATGGAAGAAGTAATTTTTTCTAACAATTGTGAATTTTAAGATGTATGGACAACAAAAAGAGTTTTTTAAAAAAACGAAACAAATTAAATATTTTTTTCTACACAATCATTAGTACAAATATAAAATATTTCTTTGAAAGCTAAAGATGAAGAATTTAGAAATGATATTGCTTATTTTACAAAAACCACTAAAAGTTTTAATTAATTAATACATCAAATATTTTCCAACCATGGTTGACATTACAAAAACTTTATTATATAATTAATACATCAAAATTTAATTAAATATTTACCTTCATAAACTGAATTGGTACATCCTAAAAATTATCAATAATTTATAGTTTTATTCAAACCCAAACAAATAGTCAACGGTTTGGATGCTACTAAATCACTTGACCCGAGTACTATGCTTATTAGTGATTTGAAAAAGAAAAGAAAAAAAAGGAGCTAACACTTTCTTCGTCTCTCACAATTCATTTTCTTTCCTGCTTTACAATTACATCATCTTCTCCTTAGGGGTGACAAACAACACTTTCTTCTTCTCTCACAATTCATTTTCTTTCCTGCTTTGCAATTACATCATCTTTTTCTTAGAGGTGACAAACAGGCATGACCGTTCTGTTCAGACGCACCTTCAAAAACTCGCAAAAAAATTAGATAGACAAATGAGTATGACCGTCCCGTTCAGACCGACCCTCAAAAGCTCGCAAAGAAATTAGATAGGATATATTGGATATAATTGAGAGTGCAAAGAAATTAAGTATGATATATTGAATATAATTGAGAGTGCATGCCTAAAACATTGATCTACCCAAAAAAATTACATAATATGCACATTTTAATCTTAAAATGAAAGAAAGAAAAATACATAAATGTTTATGCCTGCACGACAGAACAAAGCGAACACATTTGAGAGTGAAAAGCTTAAAACCTTAATCTTCACTAAAAAAAGTGCACTTATCCTTTGCGGTTGGACTCTCGTTTTACTATTCCTACTTCTCCTTTACGGTTGGACTCTCGTTTTTAGTTGAACTCATAATCCTCTTCCATCCCACTTATCCTTCTCATCACAGCCACTACGAATATCCATATGTCAAGGTCACAAGTTCCATTGTTTTTGTTCATCCTCGCTTTATCCATATGTTCAAGGTCACAAATTCCATTGTTTTTGTTCATCCGTGTCATCCCCATCAAAATCCTGTTTTATTTTCTTGTGTTTGTTTGGAAACAAATCCCATCAAAGTGCAAATTTGCTTTCCAAATCCAATGTAATTTGTATTGATGTGGTTTTAATGCATGCATTCAGTTTTCTACAAGTTAAAAACTGTTATATCCAATATATAAAAGTAGTTCTTACCATGTGTCCATATTGTTATCAGAAGACCTTTTTTATTTGTTTGATTTATGTTTCGTGTTCAAGTATTTTGTAAATCCCTTTTTAAAGTAAAAATTTATGAGGTGATATTTTTGTTGCCACTCTATTTCCTTTTAATAAACATTTGTGAATAACCATGTTTTACATAATTCATTCTATTATTGCAGCAAAAAAAAAACACTGCTACCTTTGCTTGAATGCGTTTTTGACATCAGAACCGTATCTTTTATTTTTTCTTATCGACAAATTGAATTTATTGTTATTGCTTATAAATGAGTCTTTTTAATGGAACAACAGAGCCAAACTGTACCAACTTATTACTCGTTGATTTGGATTGCTTCTGGTTGGTTTAGATTTTTATCTTAAACAAAAGCAAACCAACATACACAAAACGTTGAACCATGCTTCGATTTGTTTTCTACCATTCCTAAAACAAAACCCTGCTCTTCAATTGAGGACCAACGTGATATATTTAAAACAAACAAGCTTACAAAATTGACTGCAAGAGAAAAGCAATTGATGTGAAAAGGAGGAGGAAGAGATAGATAGGGGCAGAAGAATAAAAAGAGGGATGGTAGCTGATGGATATAACAAGGGGAGCCAGAAATGAACTTTGACCCTTGAAATTGGTCACTTGCATTATATGACGTGGGTTACATAGGTGTAACCTACACAATGTTAATGAGGTGGAATAATAAGCCATTATGCCATTATGAAGAGATAAAGAAAGCATAAATACTGAATGCAATCATTATGTAAAATTTCTTCTAACCAGTTGTTAGTAAAAGATCTTTCCAAAAAAAACCAGCTTTCCCTGTTTGACATTTGGGTTGCTTCATTGCCATAACCATGGCATTAAATAACAAGAAACATCAACTTGTTACACAGCAGCAGCTGATGTTAAATGAAGCACCCGCACAACCTGAATATCTGATTAGATAGAAGGAATTGTACATTAGGAACATAGCTAAGATGTCATCATGCCATAGAGTAAACATCACATGTTTCATCCATATCACACATATAAGATATATAATCTAATAAGAAATAATATAATAATACTATCATCAAATAACATGTCTAATAATATCATAATTGAATATCATATAATCACACATCTAATAATATCATGGAATACCCCACATTGAATAAAAATAAATGCAAAATTTAATACCTGTTTCGAAGTGTTAACTAACTCTCATCAGTACAAATTATCCCCAAAGATGAGCTTCAAAGACGTGCCCAACTTCTCACATGTATCGGCAGTGCATCATGCAGTGTTTGATATTAGAAAATAATCATACTAAATAAGCACCCACTCAGGTAGAATGAATCACAAGAAGTCCATCATGCAGACTTAGGATACTGGAAGTAAAACACGTCACAATAAAAATGAACTTTTCAGAATCAATATCTTCACAAATAGAATGAAATTATTTAGACACTGAAGCCCAGAAGTAGCTTCAAGTAAGAAGTGATATGGATAAAAAGGGCCAAAGTGCAAGGTTGCCCTGCTTACTGTACCCCGTTCCCACTGGAAAATTATAGTTGCATTTGCAAAATACCATTATCAAACAAAAATATAACCTGTATCTAATGCCTTTCAACATAATAATTACTGTTTAGAACTGTACAAAGTTCATAATAAAAAAGTTGTCCCAATTGACACAGGATCTAATTTTGCTCACAACTCATTTTTCACAACATTGAAATACAGTGCATAGGTTTTGTATGATATAATATGTGATGGCGACCAAAAAGAAAGGTGTAGCATACTGCATACATCAACGGTGAACTGCGTTGTTCAGGAAATTTGTCGTGGAGGGTCTTCAGTTCCCAACTGAAAGATGTGTGGGCAAGCAGGATCTTGCAATAAGTCAAAATGATGTCAGCTGGAATCTCAAAAAATATCAGCCATTTATGAAACTGTTCTCCCGTAACTAATAGAAGCAATATAGAGGTTCTTTGCCCATTTTTCCTGTAGAAAAAATATATAAATATATGCATTGTAGTAACAGTGATTGACAATGAATACATGAAAATCAAGTGCACTATTTTACCTTAACATGAGTACTTGGAAAATCAGACGTGCGAAGCGTTTCTTGTGTTTCATCAGTTGGTTTTCTTCTAGGGACACTTAAAATAAAAGCAGCCTGATCAGGCGTCGCAGCAGTTGCGGTGATGCGGTAATTGTTTTCCCACCTTCGATGAATACCTTCACTAGGGTACAGGAAATCAAGTTCCACAACCTAGCATTGAGTTTAGAGAGAAAAGAACATATACACATCAGACAGAATTATTCACTGTCACAAGATTTTCAATCTTAACATACAAAAAAAAGAACCTGGTCTGAAAACCCAACTCCACGAGACATAACAATTGCCCATCTAGTGCCAGCAGTGGCCATAGCAGTGACGAAAAATCCTTCTTTCCATTTTTTGTTGATCCACTTAAATGGAAATGAGTCGCTGACTTTATAGGATTGTTGCATGTATTGGGTCCCTATTAGGAAGAGCAGTTCACCCATAAAAGTGAGACAGATTTAAACACAACTACTGGTCCAATCATGCAAAGCATTACATCATCAAAGTCAAGAATGGGACTAATGCCCTTCCAAATATATGAATGACCAAGAATAGGACTTTAACCTTTTGACATTACAACCAATGAGGACCCATTACAAGCTCCAGCTATGGCACTGATGTAGTAATTATTATCCCACTGCTCCATAATCCATTCCTGTAAAATAGATTTATGATAGTCAAATTATATAAACTTCAAAATGAAACACAGTACAGAATATTTAATATAACATAAACAAACATATCACTAAATCACTAAATTAGATAACATTAGATAATAGCCCAACCGGAACACAAAAATTAACCAACCTTGTGAAGAAAACTGGAAGACAGTTCATAAACTTGTGCTGTGAAACCAGTGCCAGCATCCATAATGAGAGCCCAAAGACTAGCACAAGAAGCCACGCTACTGATAAACAAACCATCTTCATTCCCTTTTTCAATATGTTGGGAGAGCCGCTCATCGGCCACATTGTAATGATACCTACACCAAAATATTAAAAATTAATAATGGTATAACTAGACATCAACAGAAAAATACCATGTCATGTCAGCTCAAAACCTTTGTTTCATTGGTCTCCGAGCATTGTAAACACTAATCCACTGTGTTGCTGGCGTTCCCATTCGGACCCTCTTCTTTGGCTGTTCATTGTCATCCTCTTCCATGGTGAATCGTCCTCTCTTTTGTCCAACTTGGCATACAAGCTTCACAACACAAACCATAAAAGGGTTTTAACAGTTGGAGCTCTGAACCCATAAATGATATAACATGTGTAAAGTAATAATAGAGCAAGTACCTTCTGTGCACCCTCGGTATTTATTGGCCTAATGTCAGGGTTTGGACCCACAATTCCATCAAAAAGGGATATATACTTTGCATAATTTGGTTCTTCGTCAAACTTCAAATTCACTACATGTTCAACAAACTGCCGGAAAGGTGCAGGACAAAAGCAACACAAAGCTTCAGGAGAAGTTGCCATTTTTTTCTTGCAGACAAGAAATCCTTTATTTTCTCCCTGTAATAAATTACTTCATAAGAATCATGTTTTTCTTTTAGTAATAACAACAATAATGAAATTTGAAACAAGATAACCTGGTATCCTTGCCAAGGCAACCGACCACGGAGAAGAAAGACAAGCGTGAAAGCAAGAGATTCCAAATCATCTCTCCTGCTACCTGTTCTACCAAGATGTGCATGCACACTAGCGTAACGAACTGTGCCCCTGCGCAAGAATATGATATACAGAATCATTCAAAAGCCAGACATTAAATTAAGTAAGGTTTATAGAAGTTAAATAAAGAACTCACCTAAACACATCTGGGCGTTGATCATAATCAACATGAAGGCCAGTTGAACTATCACGCCAACGAGTTGCTGGGTAGAAAAATGAGTCAGGTCAGTAATCGAAAAGCGAGGGAATAAGTATATCTTCATTGACAATGAAAGCATCAAGTCTTCTAAGGTAACATGACAATTTTACCTAATCCAAGATCAACCAGAAACAACTTTTTCTCATCAAGGGTTCCCGGGGGTCCAAGCAAAAAGTTTTCAGGTTTTACATCACCATGCACGTATCTGCAATAATGACAGCGGGGTGATGAAATTAGCTTGCAACAAGATGTAATTCACGTGAATTAGAGCATATGTACTAAAATCATTTAAAATTTGTAAATGAATTATGAACTGTTTTTACCAACAATGGTATTGCCTGATAAAAGCAATCATTACAATATAGGTATTTACTAAATGATCATTACAGGCAGGGGAAGAACAAATGAAAATTTGATGGCATAGATTATACATTATATAACCACTTTCTCCTTTCTTCTGAATGGCACATATTATTCAGGCAATAATCTGACAAGTATCTAAACACTTGGGAAACCCTCCCTTAAGAGCTAGCTATCAAGGGGGAAGCGCTAATCTAGTTAAATACTCCAGTCAACATACCATGCTTCTTGAAATGGGACTTTGGGATTCCATAATACCCAAGTCCCTGTAATAAAGGAGTGGAACAATTTACTCAAGATATATTAATGGATCAATTTCAAAAAATAGTGGGCACAAGTTTTCATGAGCACATCACAGGTGGGCAAACAGGTTCACGGTTCACCCCATAGGCCATGATCAGTGGAACTTGGATTAACTCCTGCTCTTTCTGTGAACTAATGAGAAAATTGCAGGGAGACTTGGCTAACACAGAAAATTATTGAACTTGAGGGCGCACTTATCTTGGTACCCTAAGAATGGACCTCATCCTTAAGGATAAAAAGAAACCTCTTTCGCACAATACGTAATTAGTATAACAGTATGAGCAAATCTAACATGAGATCCAGAGTCAGATCAGAAGAAGAATTTCAGATGTACTAGTTTCCCAACCAATTTTTTTACATGAATAAATGTTACTTAACTTCAAGAAAAAAGAAACATTGTTGTTTCATTGTGTCACCCATAATCAATAACAAATTATCCAAAGTGATTCTCCCATGTGGTAAAAAAACAGAAAACTCAAATGATAACATTAAGTGGGACTCAGGAAGCATGCTGCCCCGTATACAATCTATAAGTAAAGAAAACCCATGTATAAATAATAAACATTATCCGGAAAATGAGCCTCACCCTTTACAATGCATTTTCTCTAATATGGAGATAGCTTCAATTGCAATACACGCCACCATTTCAGTAGACATCCTGGATCCAAAAATGAACTAAAGGTTAGGCATGCTATATTGACCCAAAACATTAAAAAAATATATAATGAAGTAAATATCAATAAAATTACAGAGAAATAGATAGATCCTTACGTGTGAGAGTTGTTATTCCAAACATCCCATAGACTAGGGCCAAGGATATCCATGACCTGCGTGTTAACATTATGTTACAAAAACATACAGTGACAACCTCAAGCCTCCATTCTTCTATTAAAAAACTTACAAGCACATACCATAATATAGTAGTCACCTTGCCGTCCCTTGTAATGTACTCGTGGAACACCATGACTACCACCTAATGTACTATTAAAATGAAACATGGCAAAGTTAGCATTTATGCATAGATAAAACCTCAACAAAGCAGATCCCCCTGTTGAAAGAAAGGAGAGCAAACTCACTTGTAAACCTGCCACTCATGGGGAGGTCCATAATTGCACCCTTTGCTGCTTCTATGCTCAAATTTTAATGCTACCTGCAGTTATGGGAGCAATATCTATAACTATTTATAAAGGTCATAGATTCATTTAGTGCACACAATTTTAATCCACGATGCTGTTATTTAAACTCCAATTTATTCTCGTCGCTTCCGCACAAAATAACCTCTCCTTATAAAGTTTTTTTTTTCAAACTAAAACATTTTGTAATCATCCTTACAGAACAAAAAATGCAGTCAGCCAAAAGGCAGAGTCTTTCTGCTAGTGTGGATAATATCGATTTCAAAATGTACACCTCACAAAGCAACACACTGGCAGAAGGAAACACCATACCTCAATGGCACCGGAGCCAGCTCCTAGACGCCTACCAACATAGACTTGTCCAAATCCTCCCTTCCCAAGTTTTCTATCGAGTCTGTATAAAGGCGAACCGCCAACTTGAACCTGTCATTAAGAAAGTACAAAATAGATTAATTTCCTAATACATTACACAAATAATTTCCCAACAGAAAGCTCTAGGTATAATCTATGTATAATCTCTAACACATCTTTAGCTATATACAGTAAGTTAGTAACACAACATTTCTTTAAAATTCAAACAATAAAGAAAGGGAAACTCTGAAGCCTGAAGATCAAAATCACCTTCTCAGGAAGTGGTGGAGTGCTTCCTTCTTCCTCCGCTTCCGGAGCTTTATCAGCACTTCCGCCACCACTATCATACTCATCCATACCTTCCTCTCCAACCACTACCTTCTTCTTATTCTCTTCTTTCAACTTCTCGTCCCTTCCTTCACCCTCGTCCGTAATCAGTCTGTCTTCGTCCTCCAATTCCTCCTAGTCTGAGCGACTGCGACAGCGATGGCGATGGCGATGGCTCTAGCTCCGGTATCTTCGCCTGTATGTTCGGCTGGGTAATCGGATTCGGATTAGCGTAATCTGCGAAACGGTTTCTTCGGAAACGCAACTCATGCATCGCAGGGGTAGCGTTGGTCCATGAAGAAAACGGAGATTCGCGAAGATTCGAAAGTCATTGATCAGTGAAGACGAGAACAAGAGAGTGAAGAATGTGTCTTGATGAAAACGAAAGAGTGAGGATCGATGGGAAATTAGGGTTTGTGATTAGGGAATTTTTTGGAGATCTGTGGAGGGAAAGGAAAATGAAGCGATATGTTGTAGTTGTGGATTTTCTAGTACAGAGATGGACAGAGAAAGAGAGATAGAGATATTAGAGAGAAGAACTGCTCCGCTTTTCAAAAACAGCATTGAGAAACACCAAACATATCATATTTTATATATTTTTTTAGTAAAGATACAATTTTTTTTTTGGTTTGTAGGATAAAAGCTACACTAATTACTAAAATTTCAGAGAGAATCTAACAATTTTTTTTTTTCAATTGAATTAAGATTTATAGATTTATGGTATTTCACTTTAGGTTTAGGTTTCTTGTTTGTGAATATGATGTTTGAAGGACTATGTATAATTTGATAAGTTAAATTAGGTATAAATTTACACTTATGAGTTTGTGTCATTTTTAAGTTGTTCAATATAAAAAGATTGAATTACTTCAAGTTAATGGGTTAAGTTTAGCAGATCGAAATTAACATTGAGAAGTTATTCACACCGACGGAGCATTCAAGACATGGGTTAAGTTTAGCATATAGAACCGAAACCAACATTGAGAAGTCATTCACACAAACGGAGCATTCAAAACTTATTAATAGTTATAGTTAGTCAATCTCGACAAGAAAGCAAGAAACTTAATCATCATTAATTGGCCTCACGCTGACGGAAGAACATGAGTGAATAGCGATCAATAGGTTTAATGAATTCAAAATATTTGAGATTATATATATATATATATATATATATATATATATATATATATATATATATATATATATATATATATATATATATATATATATATATATATATATATATATATATATATATATATTCGGATGACGAATAAAAGACATGGTATGGTATGAGAGATGATTAAGAAACACATGTCTCACGTTACAACCATATGAAACTAAAAAGAATGTTGTTTGAGGATCAAACATAATAATAAGAGGATTGTTCATTACATCATATATGATTCTCTAAAATCCGATGAATTTCCAAAATGACTTTTTTGTCTTGTTTGAATAGTACAATTTAGACGTAACTTAATCAATCAAAATTGGGTTGTTTATTTGGAATGACATTTTTTAGAAAGAAATATATATGTCGGATGATAACATCTAGACGACGTAATTACATAGTCCAAATGTTGTTATTTAAAGCATAACATTTATTGTATAATCAGTTTCATGAATCATCTCACTAAAGACCTTATAACATATTTCCTTAAACCTTTTAGGAAAAATTTCCCTACTTATTCAATAATTGTGTCTGATAACATAATTCAATTGTATTTCAACATCATAAACATTACAACTATCCTAAATTACAAAAAATGTACATACGCATCTTTTATCGTTGAATAACAATCTAGATTTTTTTATTTGTTGAAGAAGTTTTCTGGAAAGTATTATCTGAAACCTTATATTATTCCTCTGAAATGTAACTTTTGGACCTTTGAAATGGTTGGTTGAATTTTCTTTGTTTTCAATTAATGTAGCTATGGTGCACCCTGATATTGTAGATCAAGCTAATGCATTAAATGATAATGTGTCGGGGAGATCCTCAACATGGTGTTGTATAGGTTGATGTTGGGAAAAATTACCATTAAAATATAGTTTATGTTACAAGAACATATACTTAAATGAGTTCATGTGAAAGCTGCCAAATTAGGTTTTGAGATAGTAATTATAAGGTTTGATTTTGGTTATGATAGAAGAAATACATTTAAAATATTGCAATAATATAATTAGGTAGGGTGTGTTCGAATATTAATATTCAAACTCGCCCTTGACTCAAAATTAACCTCGTCTAACCAACATAATTTGTATGTACGGTGTCTATGGAGATAAATATTCTGACACACCCTTGACTCAAAAAATACATTGTCTAACTAGCATGTTTTGTAAGCAGGGTGTGTCTGAATATTAATATTCATATACATCCCTGACTCAAAATAAATATAGTTCAACCAACATGCCTAGTACGCATGGTGTCTCTGAATATCAATATTTGGACAAACCCCTTACTAAAAAATAACATCTCCTAACCAACATGATTTGTATGAAGTTTCTTCAATTTTTCATTTTCGCAAACACCTTTGACTCAAAATTAACATAATCTAGCCAACATGCTTTATATGCAGGGTGTCTTCAGATAAATATTCAAACATGCTTCTAACATTAAAATAACATCTTTTAACCAGCATGATTTGCACTCGTGGTTTCTCTACATATTAGTGTTACGGTCCAGTCACAACAACCTCGAGTGACAATTACAACACTTTTCATTCCTTCTCGAATCTTATTAGCACACGAAGATTCACATTCAAATAATCATAAAGATTTCAACTACAAGTGCATCCAACAACTCTGTGCAATTTGTAACACCCCACTTCCCAAAAGCAATTAAATTAATAAACATTATAAATAAACAAAATCAGAGTTCCAATTCTCCCAAGTGGGATATCACATAAAAACAACGTTTCCTTATAAAAAGGTTTATCTCCAACTTCAGCGGAATATTAAATAATAAAATTCAATAAAAGTTTGATACGTTCACAGGGAAATAAAATATCAATTCAACATAAAACAAATAAAAACGCCCAAGTCCTGTGCTACGTATCAGAGCATCCTAGACTCGACAATCACACCAATATCCAAGCTAGCTAAGCACCTGGATTATCTGTACTTCCGAAGAAGCACAGACCACCACAACAACAAAGGGGTGAGAAATCATGATCAAAAATATAATGGTAATGTAATACATGTAAATAAGGTAGTACAACACACCAACACACCAAGATTCACCCCTAACAACACCATATGACGAACCTACTGTTCAAATTACAATATAACATATTATAATGCAAAATGCAACTCAACACCATGCATGCGGTACCGACTCGTTGGTTCATTCAATCGAACCTGGATAGATCACTTACGCTCCTCCTGAGACATGATCTATCCCCCACCATTCTCCACAAAGGAGTACGGATGAATCACTTACGCTCCTCCTGAGACATGATTCATCCCACCAAAACACCATGATATGCACACACCAATGCATAACTAATATATCTAGGCACTCAACGTGCACACGATCCTCCTGATCATATCATCATACACCAATGCACATATGTACAGATATAACATACACCAACACCATATAAATCAACCAGATAGTAAACAAGTTCATACTTTAACACCAAGATATAACATATCCCACCACTCGGGGGTACGCGATCCTACTGATCACTACATACATATACATCAACTAATTGTCCACCAATCATTATTACGGGAAACATGCACTATCACCAAGTACACAAGTTAGTTCTCACACTCATCATTCTTACAGTGCATCAAGGCCAAACTGTACCTATCATCTCAACTCAGATCCTCAGTCTATTCTAGTACCAATCTTGCACATTACCGTAACCAATAGGCTTCTAATTCCTATTCCCAAAATCATCACCTACACACTTTATCGATACCTCAAAAGCCATACAGAATTTTCCCTAAAACTGTAAAACCCCCTATATGCCCTATATGCCAAATCATCCCAAAACACCAATTCATTAACGATTACTATATAATTAACAACAATCATCATCAATCATAACATAACAATATATATTATCATATATCGATCAATTTCCTACGGGGTTAAGGAATCCCCAACTACCCTATACATGTATAAACCATTCCCAATCAAGTTTCTCCCCCCTTACCTTGTTAATCGGTTGATCGATGAAAGAATCCTCCAAGGTTTGGCCAATTCTGATTTTCCCCTGTTCCTTCGTTCTTCGCTCCCTTTTCCGTTCCCTTTTCCGTTCTCTCCTTTCTATCGTTATTTTTCCACTTTCTCTAACTTCTCACAATGTAGAGTAAAACTCTAATCCCTCGCGTTTCTATTTTCATTCTCTAATCCCAATAATAATAATAACTTAATAATAATAATAATAAAAATAATAATAATAATAATAATAATAGTAATAATAATCCTATTATTATCTCACCAAAAATAATAATAATAATAGTAATAATAATCCTATTATTATCTCACCAAAATAATAATAATGTTAATAACTTAATAAAATAATAATAATAATAATAGTAATAATAATCCTATTATTATCTCACCAAGATAATAATAATGTTAATAACTTAATAAAATAATAATAATAATAATAATAATAGTAATAATAATCTTATTATTATCTCACCAAAATAATAATAATGTTAATAACTTAATAAAATAATAATAATAATAATAATAGTAATAATAATCCTATTATTATCTCACCAAAATAATAATAATGTTAATAACTTAATAAAATAATAATAATAATAATAGTAATAATAATCCTATTATTATCTCACCAAAATAATAATAATGTTAATAACTTAATAAAATAATAATAATAATAATAGTAATAATAATCCTATTATTATCTCACCAAAATAATAATAATGTTAATAACTTAATAAAATAATAATAATAATAATAATAGTAATAATAATCCTATTATTATCTCACCAAAATAATAATAATGTTAATAACTTAATAAAATAATAATAATAATAATAATAATAATAGT